GAACCGCAGGCACAACAGAGACACTGTCTGTGTAGCCATGTCACTGTAAAACCAGCACTGAGAGGATCTTACAAACTTTAGGTACCCATGGAATATCTGAGAAAGGAAAGAGAAAACTAGCTGCTCTTGTAGTTTACTCTGGTGCTTCTTCACTAGCACCCCAGTTGTCCATTTTGAGGAAAAAATGCTTAACCAAATATGGCACAGGATAATAGTCTGGATTTCTTATAAATTAGAATCTTTGAAGCATGAATTAATGTCACCTTAATTGAAAAGCAATCGTTATATTATGATCTATAATACTCTCCACAGTGGCAGTACATGCCAGAAGGATTTAGCATGAATTTTTTTAAAGAATGCAAGAATAGCTGAGCCTCTATAAATTTAACTTGAAATCCCATGTTTTGCTCCCTGAACAAGGCTTCCAAAGGACATGTAAATTTTGGAAGTGAAGCAGAAAAGTTAGGAGATTTATGAAAGGCTACTTCTACATATTGACCTATATTTTTCCCCCTTCTTGTAACCATGAAAGGTTGTGATTCTAATATCATAGATGGACCCACTCCAACATCAAGCACTTGCCGATTCCATCTAGAATAGCTATCCCCCACGCGTGTATTCTGCCTGCTTGCTGGACTATGCTAAAAAACCTGTTTTGCCAAGGATTCTGTGCATCTTATGTAACTATCAAGCTGTTATAATCTGCAAAAACAGTCTCTAAAGATCACCACTCCCGAGTCTACATTCTTCAATCACTATTTCGGAACATTTATTTTCCCCTTTCTTTAGTGTTCTATTTACTGTCTATTCATCTGAAGCATCTCACTTAGTACCATTAAATTTTTTGTTACATCTATTATTTGAATAGAAAATTGAAGTTTTCTTAAAACTGAAGTGTTCCTTCCAATTTTTCTTTTTTTTTAAAAAAGCTATTTTCTTTAAGGGAAAAATAAATGAAAACCATGTTTGATAGAAGCTTCTTAAGTTTCTTGACGAAATGTCAGTTTAGAGTAGGGAAACAGTCCTCCACCAGTCCTAATCTAAGGATAAATTTCTCAAAGCATAGAACAGAAGAAGAAATGAGGCACTTTGAAACCAGAATGTGTCCATGGAATATAAGAGTTTAAGGAACATAAAATATTAATGTTACTGTGGAAAGCACTGTCAAGATTTCATCTGGAATATTATCTGCAATTACGATGACCAGTGTTCAGGAGTGGCTCATTCAGAGAGGATTTGGTGAAGAGACAGCTTTGATGTTGTTTAGAGGAGTTGAGAGTCCATGTCATGAGAGGAGACCAAACAACTTATCTTGCTAAAGTTAAGAGACCAAGGGTTTACACAGGTATGACTTCCACAAAAGAATCAGTGAGAAAAAGTAAAATGGGAAAGAAAACTACATCAGCCTAAGGCCAATGACTGACAATACAAGATGGGAATACAGTGGTTATAAATACATTTAGGCTGGAATTATCATGTGTTACTCATGCACTGAAAAAGTGAGACTCTGAACCAGCCTGTCAGGTAGAGTAACAGGATGAGAAACCTAAACAGTTTCAAGCCAGAGTTGAGCAGTTTATGAAATTAATTACACAGCATGGTCAAGAGCTGAAGACTTGAATTTATGATCCACAGGTCCTTGCTGCTATTCCTCCTGAAACAAAATCAGTCATTCCTACATTTAAAAAATGCAATTATTTGTCCTGTGCTGTTGAGAGAATACCAGGACATCAATCCAACTGCAACATACAGTTACTTATTTTGGCCTTGTTTCTGTCTGTATTTCTGGGCAAGGGGGCCAGAGGAATCTCTGGAAAGGAGGAAAGATCGCTCCCTGCCCAGGGAGCAGCACATAGGGCACAGATACTCAGGCATCCAAGATGGCAGAAGGAAGCTTCCTCTGTATTTTGCTGCAACTTAAATCTCACCTGGAAGCCAAGACCTGCCTGCAAAGACCCACTGAGCTGTAGGAAACTTGCTTTTAAAGCTTCTTGATGTTATGTTTCTGACAGCTCTGCTGCCTGGCCCCGCTGCAACTCAGGGCATGCACCAGAGCACAGTTTCAACCAGGTCAGGCGAGACAGACCCTGCTGGGGTTGATGCATCACTGCTAGGCACTTCAGTTCCTGACATTCCTCTCAGTTTTCTCAGACCATCACCTTTATAAACAGGCACCTCCTTTGTGCCATCTCCCAGCAATGCTGGGGCACGGTCAGAAAACCTGTCTGCTTTGGGCCTTTCCCAGTTCTGTCATTTCAAGTGCACCAAAGCCATCAGCTATTATGTTGCGGTCCTCACCAAGAACAGATTTTAAGACCATACAGGAATTAATCTTCCCTCAAACACACTAATTCAAGAAGGCACAAGAATTCTCTCAGCCCCCTAACTCTGCAGAACCTTCCCCATATATTTCCCACTTCCCAAAAAGGTCTTCCAGACCCCTTTCA